CTGAGCATCGATAAGGAAGGCAGCGCTAGACAGGCGTCTCCAGCGCTTTCGAGCCAGCTTGCATGACACTCCCAGTTGTCATGACAAACGATGACGGCCATCTCCTGTGACTATGTGGCCACCCCCCCATTCCCTGAATTTAGGCGCGCGAGGAACAAGAGGATATGCCCCACAGTATTACGAGCAGAGCCCCTTGTTTCTGATGTCAGAACATTTTAAAATCATTATCAGTCGGATGTTGGGTATGGAGGAAAAGCAGAAAGGGGTGTGTTCTGACACTTGGTGAGTTCCCTACACACCGGGACCAGAGGGTCGTAATATGACAGTTTTGTGTACTCTGTCTAGTCCGGTTTCACGACGTCTAACAAGGATCCTATTTAAATGGAGGATCGAGAAACACATCAGATTCCGTGTCATAAACCGTCCATAATGACCCGGCACAATCAATACGGGACAAAAGAGAAGCTTTCCTTCCCGTCATTACCATTCAATTACAATTATTTATCATATTGTTTCCTGAATAAGAGAAATGTCGCAACATTAGGTAAACTCCCATTATGCCGGAAGGGGAAATACGGGGGACGTCCACAAGGGCATCATCGCAATTCATATATTTTTTATATAGAGTGATTCATCCCACCAGAGAGCGGCAAAGTTTAAGCGCGCGATTAGAGAAAACACAAAAGAATAAACAGAACAATTCCATCACCGAGGATTTCCTAACAGAGACCGAAAAACGAAACAGGTCGGCCAGGTTTGACAATCCAGCATTTGCCCATCAGACATCAGAACAACGAGACATCTCTAAAATTCTCACTATCACTTCAGTGCCTCGCCCACATAGATCAACACAACAGCACGCACGCGATGGCCAGCAAATACCGCTAAAAACACCAGACTGACCATTGTGACATAAACACCGAGGAGACGAGCCAGAGAGATCTGAACGCATCGCCATCGTTTTAAACGCGACAATTGAGTAAATTCAAAGAAACAGTATAATCAAACACATTTACAGAGGAAACATACTCACACCCCGGTCCAGTTTGGTGCCGAGTGGTGGGAAGGACAAAATTGACGGCTGTAAAGTCCCCTTAGTAGCGCTGAACGCTGACCATCAGTCCCGTTACGTTTCATGACCCCTACCGCTTTGTTTCGAC